AAACATCTCTGTTTTTATGCCAATACCAAGCTGTTTTCCTTACTGTAGCTTTGTAATAGAGCTTGATTCAGGGACGGTAATGCTTGCAGAAGTTCCTTTATTTCATAGAATTGCTTTGGCTATCCTGGGTTTTTTTGTTTTTCCATATAAAGTTGATTATTGTTCTCTCAAGGTCTGTGAAGACTTTTGTTGGGGTTTTGATGGAGATTGCATTGAATCTATAGATTACCTATATAATTACTATATAATGGCCATTTTAATGATGTCGATCCTACCAATCCAAGAGCATGGGAAATCTTTCCATTTTCTGGTATCCTCTTCAATCTCTTTCTTCAAAGACTTAAAGTTCTTGTCAAATAGGTCTTTCACTTCCTTGGTTAGAGTTACCCCAAGATATTTTATGCTATTTGTGGCTATCGTGAAAGGTGATGTTTCTCTGATTTCCCTCTCAGCTTCTTTATCCTTTGTGTATAAGTGGGCAACTGATTTTTTGGAGTTGATCTTGTGTCCTGCTGTATCACTGAAGGTATTTATCAGCTGTGGCAGATCAGCTGTGGCAGTTCTCTGGCAGAGTTTTTGGGGTCACTTATGTAAACTATCATATCATTTTAAAATAACAAAAGTTTGACTTCTTCCTCCCAATTCAAATCCCCTTGATCTCCTTATGTTCTTCAAGAACTATATAGAAGAGATATGGAGAGAGTAGACAACCTTGTCTTGTTCCTGATTTTAATGGAATCGCTGTGAGTTTCTCTCCATTTAATTTGATGTTATCTGTTGGCTTGCTGTATATTGCTTTTATTGTATTTAGATATGATCCTTGTAGCCCCAATCTCTCCAATATCTTTATCATAAAGATATTTTTGTCAAATGCTTTTTCAGCATCTATTGAAATGATCATATGGTTTTTCTTTCAGTTTATTTATATGATGGATTACATTGATAGATTTTCGTATGTTGAACTAACCCTGCATCTCTGGGATGAAGCCTACTTGATCATAATGGATGATTTTTTTTATGCGTTCTTGTATTCGGATTGCCAGTATTTTATCGAGAATTCTTGCATCCATTTTAATGAGTGAGATTGGTCTGTAATTCTCTTTCTTGGTTGTGTCTTTGTGTGGTTTTGGTATCAGGGTAACTGTAGCTTCAAAAAAAAGAGTTTTGCAATGGCCCCTTTGTTTATATTATGTGGAACACATTGAGGGGTATAGGTATTAGCTCTTATTGGAAGTTAAAGTAGGATTCTGTACTAAAATCATTCAGCCCTGGGCTTTTATTGGTTGGGAGCTTTTTGATGACAGCTTATATTTCCTCATGACTTATCGGTCTATTTAAATTGCTCACCTGTTCTTGATTTAATTTTGGTATATGGTATCTATCTAAAAAACTGTCCATTTCTTTTACATTTTTCAATTTTGTGGCATACATGCTTTTGTGTTAAGACCTAATGATTCTCTGAATTTCCTCAGTGTCTGTTGTTATGTCCCCCTTTTCATTTCTGATTTTCATAATTTGGCTGTTCTCTCTCTGCCTTTTTATTAGGTTGGATATGAGTTTGCCAATCTTGTTGGTTTTCTCAAAGAACCAACTCTTTGTTTCATTGATTTTTGAATTGCTTTCTGTGTTTCTATTTTGTTCATTTCTGTCCTTAGTTTGATTATTTCCAATCTTCTACTCCTCCTGGTGAGTCTGCTTCTTTTTTCTTTTTTCTAGAGCTTTCAGGTATGCTGTTGAGTCACTAATGTGAGCTTTCTCCATTTTCATTATGTGGGCACTTAGTGCTATGAACTTTCCTCTTAGCACTGCTTTCATAGTATACCATAGGTTTGGGTATGTTATGTCTTCATTTTCATTGAAATTCAATGAAAACATTAATTTCATTCTTTCTTCCTTGACCCAGGGGTGGTTCAGTAGTTGATTATTCAGTTTCCATGAGTTTGTAGGCTTTCTGGGGGTAGTATTGTTGTTAAATTCTAACTTTACTCTATGGTGATCCGGTAAGACACAGGTTATTACTCCTTTTTTTTAAACTGTGGATGTTTGCTTTTTGCCGAGTAGTATGTGATCAATTTTTGAGAAGGTTTTATGAGGTGCTGAGAAAAAGTTATATTCTTTCTTGTTTGGGTGGAATGTTCTATAGATGTCTGTTAAGTCCATTTGATTCATTACATCTGTTTGTTCTTTTATTTCTCTGTTAAGTTTCTGTCTAGTTTATCTGTCCACTGGTGAGAGAGGAGTGCTGAAATCTCCTACCATTAGTGTGTGGGGTTTAATGTGTGATTTGAATTTTAGTAATGTTTCTTTTACATATGTGGGTGCTTTTATATTAGAGGCATAGATATTCAGGATTGAGACTTCATCTTGATGAATTATTCCTGTTATGAGTATAAAGTGTCCTTCTTCTCTTCTGATTTATTTTAGTTTGAAATCAATATTGTTAGATATTAGGACAGCCATTCTCACTTGTTTCTTAGGTCTGTTTAATTGGAAAACATTTTTCCAATCCTTTACCCTGCAGTAGTATCTGTCTTTGAGGTTGAGGTGTGTTTCTTGTAAACAGCAGAATACTGGATCTTGTTTTAATATCCATTCTCTTAACCTGTGCCTTTTTATAGGTGAGTGAAGTCCATTGATATTAAGCAATGAAAATCGTGTTTACCATTGATTTCATGATGACCAAGTCACACATTTCGACATCAACTTTACTCTGTTTGAATTCCTCCGATGTCTCCAATTTATGATCTCTTTTTATTATTTTTACACACAAACATGTATGCATGCACACATTACTGCGCGCATACACACACACACACACACACACACACACACACACCCTGCTGAGTTCATTTCTCCTATGTATATGTCAAATGGTCAGTTAGGACTAACCTCTGGACATTTGATAGTCTATCTGGATGCTTGCTTCTGGAAAAGAACTTCCTTCCTTCCTTCCTTGCAACCATTTACCTGTAGCTCTTCATTCAGAGCTGGGGCCTTCTGAGATATCCCCCATCCACCTCGGTATGGCAAATTGTTTTGTCATTGTAGAGATCTTGTTTAGGTGAACAAGTTCTTGAGATTTCATGGCTGCCACTCCTCTTCATATACAAAGTACTCTGTTTGTAGAATATTTCTCTGGCTATAGTGATCCCCACCCCATCTTCTGCAATGTTGCATAAGCCTTAGGTGTAGGGGTTGCTTTGTAGATTTTTCAGTGAAGATGGGTGCTCCATCATCAGTCGCTCTCTTATATTTCTATATTTTCTTGGAAAGATAATTACTTACTTTATAGTTTTTCTATCATGAAAGAGAAAAACATTGTAAAGATCTAGATCTGTGTTTTTCACCAAAATTTCTGGTCTATGAAAAATGCAAAGAAGCCCACAATTAACCAAATAATCTATATCACCTTACAAGGTAATTATATATAACCTTGTAAATAAACCATTTATTATTATTTATTACTAATTAATATTATTGATGTACAACTTGTAACAGTAATGACTGACTTGCGCCAAGAATTGAGACCCATTAACTCAGAATTTCCATTTAAGCAAAACTATACATAAAGACTTCAAAAATAAAACAAAATTTACGGTTAAAATAAGATTTCTATGTGAGATTTCACGGCTCATAAATTTATGTTGATGACCTCTAAAATTTAGTAGTCTAATAATAAAATGAGGACATGTTACTGATCATATCTCTTTACAGAAAACTACAAATGTGTATGGTATCATATATGAAATCATCTGCTACTTCAGCACTTACTTGTTGGACTTTCTTCCTGCACCAGAGTTTCATTTATGTGTTTTAGGCAAGTGCATAACTGTGTTTGCTTAAGGCTGTGTGTAGAAATCAGAGGTTAACATTTGGTTGGCTGAGAAGGTAGGGAACTGAGAACGGTTACTAAGGATAACACAATTCCAGGCGCATGAAGAAGGTTCCAGTTTATTATACTAGATGCCACACTGTCCAGATTTCCAGGATAACCTGTTGCTCTAAACTTCCTTATTAAGCCATATTATATGGAAAAGAAAATTTCTTAAGAAAGAACACCAGAGTGTGCCAGGCAGGGGACTTGTGCTTGAGTTTCCTTGAACACAGTCCAGAATGTATTCCAGTGTAGATCCTTACACTCAACTCATGAGCACATATCTTCAACTTGATGGTCATTTATTAGTAATTATGCTCAGAGTAACATCTTATGCCCTTGATTTTATATTTAGTTTTTATAGAAGGAAGAATTAGCAAGGATTAGCTAATTTTATGTCTTTTATTCATTATCATGTTTTTGTGTGGTGGGGGGAAGATCAGCAAACTATTTAGTTGAAAATCTTCATAATTGAGTGATATGGAAGACAATGGGTTTCTCCACATCCCTGCCATTTGAGTCAAATGGTGAGCCTTGTATATGATAGGGCAGTTGGAGGTGGCTTATGCCATTGAGAAAAACCAAGGGTTGGTCCCTATTCATTAACAACATCTACTCTTGGTTTCTTCTTTCTTAACCATTTGAGTAGGTGGTGGATAATTGGAGGAAGAGATACTAGTAATCTACATTTTCCAATTGTTCTATAGCTTACCTGTATATTAAAGTACAGTAGAACTGACCAGTTGTCTAATTTTCAGTTTAAACAGTTTCCCGTTGTGATGACAACGAATTTATTACTTGAAAGAAATAATCACATCCAAATCTCCAAAGATATTGCTATACCTGTATGTTATAACAGAGTTGTGAGATTTATTACTGAGATATATAGTGATGTATTTGTGATATAGCTAGGAATGAATGAATAAAAATTGTTTTTTCCCACCCACCATGCAAGTTAACTTTGAAAATATTTGATACTATTTTTCACATATCTAGGCTCTACCATTGTTTTGCTGTTTACTTCCATTAACAATTATGGCACTGTAACTTAAGTATTAATAGACCTAAGATTTGGTACTACAGAATTGTAACATTATATCAAATTATTTTCATTATCCCTAACCAGGCAAAACACAAATATTATTTGAAAATATTACATCTGTGACGATCACAGATTGTATAAAGAATGTTATCATTCCATGTACTGTTTCCAATATAAATGCAAAAGACATCAAGGAGTTGTCCGTAAGGTGGATCTTTGGAAAAACTCTTATTTTAACCTTTGAAGGGCATTCAAACACATACTCTAAAATTCCTACGTTTAAAAGCGCACAGATTTCCACCTCCGCCTTTTTAAAAGGAGATGCATCTTTAACGCTGGATACGAATGAGGCAAAAGCAGGAAACTACACCTGTGAAGTTAAGGAACTAAGCAGAGAAGGCAGACATACCGTGGAACTGAAGTACCACTGCAGTAAGTGACACACTTTAAATATGGTTTGTCTCTTTGCATATACATCTGGAATCTGGATGGAGCTGATGACCATGCTTGGGGGTAGTCTTCAAGAGACACCTTGATGCTATTTTGAGGAGTGGGCTAATCCCTAAAGTAGTGCCTTATCAATTCTGATGCCAGCACCCCACTTCTATCAGGTGGGGTGCCTTTCTGGAGTTTATGTACATATACACATTCAAACTGGAACTATGGTCTGGCCTTGCTGCCAAAGTTGTGGTATTTTGTAGAAGTTCTTATATGGCAGTGACTTTGTTTATGTCCTCCTAAGAGTTCTACTGTTACATTTTACTCAGGACTGCGTTTTTAAATGATAATTGGGTTTTGCTATTCATTTGTATGTCTTTATGTTCTCTGCATGTTAGATGACATTTTCACCAAAAGATGTGATAGAGCTCTAAGTACCTAAAGTGAAAAAAAGATTAGTCACTAAAATCAAGTATCTGATCTCAGAATATAATAGTTAATCCAAATTAGTTTTAAATTCATAGGATTTTCAATTTAAGATTTGTTGATCACATGCTCCATCAGTCCCTGTCCAGTTGGCCTTGGTAAGTTCCCATTAGATCAGCCCCACCATTGCAGTGGGTGGGCGCACCCCTCGCGGTCCTGACTTCCTTGCTCATGTTCTCTCTCCTTCTGCTCCTCATAAGGCCCTTGGGAGCTCAGTCCAATGTTCTAATGTGGGTCTCTGTCTCTATCTCCATCCATCACCAAATGAGGGTTCTATGGTGATATGCAAGATATTGATCAGATCAAACTGGACTCTCTGAACGTGGCTGACAAGGAGGGCTGAATGGGAATCCAAGGACAATGGCAGTGGGTTTTGATTCTACTGCATGTACTGGCTTTGGGAGAACCTAGTCTGTTTGGATGTTCACCTTCCTTGAAATGAATGTGGGAGGAGGACCTTGGACTTCCCACAGGGTAGGGAACCCTGACTGCTCTTTGGACTGGAGAGAGAGGGGGAGGGGGGATGGAGAAAGAGGGAGGGAAATGGAATAAGGGGAGGGGGTGAAAATTTTTAATAATAATAATAAAAAACTTGAAAAAAAAGATTTGTTGATATAACATTAGTTCAATTAAAGCAAGCATATAATCTATTGCTAGTGTTAAGGAGAACTTTAGTACTTTCATTTATATTGTTGGATCCTGAAGATCATAAAATTGCAAATTTCCTTGATGTGAGAGAACACAACATTGCTTGCAGGTTGCTCTGTTCCAGACACATCTATTTGTCTTTTAAGTTTTCTAAGTAAATGAAAATAAATTCTGCCCTTTTTTTCATGAAGGCTGATTAATATATTTCAACCTCACCTTTTCCCTGTTGGAAATCCTTCTGAATCTCCCCTACTCGAATTCATGTCCTTTTTATTAATTTTTTTGCACACACACACACACACACACACACACACACACACACACGGATGCATGCATCCATGCACACTCACACATAAAGCTGAGTTCATTAGTCTTTCCTAATGTATACATCACATGGTCAGTTAGGACTCTGGATATTGGATAGTCTATCAGGAAGCTTGCCTACGGACAAGAGCATCCTTCCTTCCTCTCTTGCAGCCATTTACCTATAGATCCTCATCTAGGGTTGGATTCTTCTGAGATTTCCCCTTTCCACCTCGGAATTTCAAATTGTGTTATCACCCTGTTCTTAAGATTTCTTTGGTGCCACTCCCTGCCATGTATCAAAGACTTCATTTGTAACTATTCCACTGCCTCTAACAATCCTCAACCCCCACTTCTGACATGTTTTCTAAGTCTTAGGTGTAGGTGTTGCTTTGCAGAATTTTAGTGGATGTGGGTGCTCCATGTTTCCTACTTTTTTCTGGTTTGCCACTCCAATGGGATTGGCTGGCCTCACACTCCTGCCACCGTGAGTTCCCTGACATGAAAGATTGTGCCACTCTGGAACTGAAAGCCAAAGTAAACCTTTCCTCCATTAACTTGCTTTTTCAGGATATTTTATCACAGAAACATGAGTGAAATAAACAGTCTTGTGGTATAGCCTCATCCATTCTTATCAAGACAGCTTTTTGGTTATGTTGCAAAACAATAATGAAGAGGAGTTAGTATTCCCAGGTACAGGACAGACACTGCAAACTCTGACATCATAGATAGCCTTCTTCTCACTTCAGAAGAATCTTGTTCTCTTGCTCAAGAGAATACCAGACTGTCTATGACCTTTTTTACATCCTTTATCTCAGAGACTTTGTTCCAGTGCCTTATTGTTCAGTCCTGTATCCTAGATCTTGCCCTCATCATTGAATCCTTCCCCTTTGCTTGCAGTCATTATTAAACTATTACTTCATAATAAAAAAGAAAACAAAAATCTAAAATAATTTTTAAAATGTACTGTGCTTTTGTCCCTACTTCAGCTCTTACTTGTTGGAATATATTACTGTCCCAGAGTTTCATTTATGTGTCCTCTGCAAATACATATCTTTATTTGCTTAACACTATGTGTAGAGGTCAGAGGTTAACCTCCCCTTGGCTATTGTTCCTTAGATACTAGCCACTTTTTCTCTTCATTTATTTATTTATTTAAATTTTTTGATTGCTTTTGTGTTTTTCTTTAAAGAAAAACTCACAGCTTTGAAGAATGTAGATAGATATCTATTTTTTTTCCTGGGGTTTCCTAACTTTGGGGTGTCTGAAAAGCTAGAGAACTGGGAACAGTGAGCAATGGAAACCCCCAAGGTTACTGAGGATAGCACAATTCCAGGAGCATGAAGAAGTTCATGATACTAGAGGCCACACTGTCCAGATTTCTGGTGTGGCTTAGGGAGCAGTTCTTAGATGTTTTCAATTATGATTTTCTCCTCCATATTCTCGAAAGGTCACTCACACTTTGCTCCCATCCTCCTTATTTAAACCATGCTACAGAAAAGCAAATTGCTTGAGAATAAACATCAGAGTGTGCCAGACAGGAAACTTGTATTTTCTCAAACAAAGTCCAGAATGTATTCCAGTGTAGATCTGTACCCTCAACTCATGGGCACTCATCTTTATCTTGATGGTCATTTATTAGTAATTGTACTCTTAGAGTAACATCTTATGCCCTTGATTTTATTTTTAGTTTATATGGAAGGAGGAATTATCGAGGAGTAGCAAAGTTAATGTCTTATACTCATTAGCACTTTTTTTGTGTAGTAGGGGAAAAAATCAGCAAACTATTTAGGTGAAAGTCTTGATAAATGAATGATATGGAGGACAAGTGGTTTCTCCACATCTCTGCCATTTGAGTCTAATGGTGGGCCTTTTTGATATGGTAGTGCAGTTAGGTATGGCTTATGCATTTAAGAAGAACCAAGGGCATGATTGAGCATCTGTTCGGTATATACCCAAAAGTAGTATTATTGGGTCTTGAAGAAGGCTTTTTTCCTAATTTTCTGAGAAATCAACACAATGTCATCCAAAGGAGCTGTACCAGCTTGCAAGGACATATACTCAACTCTGTTCATAGCAGCATTGTTCATTATAACCAGAACCTGGAAACAACCTAAATGTCCCTCAACCAAAGAATGGATAATGAAAATGTTGTACATTTACACAATGTAAATACTACTCCACAGTACTACACAGCAGAAAAAATAATGACATCTTGAATTTTGCAGACAAATGGATGAAGCTAGAGAACATCATTTGGAGTAAGGTAATCCCAACACAGAAAGAGAAGTACCACATGTACTAACTCATAAGTGTTTTTTAAATATAAAGCAAAGAAAACCAGCCCACAAATTACAATTCCAGAGAATTGTAGACAACAATAAGGACACTAAGATAGACTTACATAGATATAACCTACATGGGAAATAGAGAAAGGCAAGCTCTCCTGAATAAATTGGGAGCATGGGGACCTTGGGAGAGTGTTGAAGGGGAGGGGAGAAGCAGGACAGGGAGCAGAGGAAAATGTAGAGCTAAAAACAAAGAAGAAGAAGAAGAAGAACAACAACAACAACAGCAGCAGCAACAACAACAACAACAACAACAACAACAACAACAACCAAGGGGTTGTCTATACTCATTAGCAACATCTGCTCTTGGTTTCTTCTTTCTTAGACTTTTGAGTAGTTAGTGGATTATTGGAGGAAGAAATAGCAGTAATCTACATTTGGCAATTGTTCTGTAGCTTCAAAGAAATGTCAAAGTAAGAAAATGCCAGTCAACTGTGTATAATACTTGTGAGACTGACATACAAATTGTCTTCTGCTTTCTTTATGCAATGGGAAATAGCTATGGAGATTACTTTTCCTTGATATTCTTTAAACTATTTCATCCAAGTAAAAAGATAGGACCTTATTGATCAGACTTACCAGTATATTAAAGTACAGTTAAACTGGCCACTTATTTAATTATCAGTTAAAACTTTTCCAATTGTGATGACAATGTATTATTACTTGACAGAAATAGTTACATCCAAGTCTTCAAAGATATTGCTAAACTAGTATATTCAAAAACAGTTGTTGTATTTATTACTAAGATATATAGTAATGTATTCATAATATTGCCAGTAATGAATGAAAAAATGCTCTATTTTTCTACCCACTATGACAATTAACTTTGAAAATATTTGATACTGTTTTTCACCTTCATGGTCTCTTACATTGTTATGTTATTTGCTTCCATTAATAATTGCAGCACTGTTACTTAAGTATTCATAATGCAACTAAGATTTGGTATTACAGAATTGCAGAATTATATCAAATTATTTGTTTTATCTTTTCTCAATTTCAGCAAAGCTATTATTTAAAAATATTAAATCTTTGATGATCAGAAACTGTGAAAAGGTTGTTATCATTCCATGCTACATTTCCAGTATAAAGGCAGAGGACATCAAAGAGTTATCCTTGAAGTGGAGCTTTGAAAAAACACGTATTTTAACCTTTGGAGGACATTCAAACACATACACTAAAATTCCTACATTTAAAAGTGCACGGATTTCCATCCCAGGCCTTCTAAAGGGAAACGCTTCTTTGACGTTGGATAGGAATGAAGCAAAAGTAGGAAGCTACACATGTGAAGTCAAGCAGCTAAACAGAGAAGGTAGACACACCGTGAAACTAAAACAGCACCGTGGTAAGTGACACACTCTAAATATGGATTGTCTCTTTGCATATCCATCTGGAATCTTAAGGAAACTTGTAACCATGCTTGGGCATAGAGTCTTCAAGAGACACCTTGATGCTATTTTGAGGAATGGGTTCATCCTCAAAGGACTGGATTAATTGTCACCAGTGAAAGTTATTGCAAAAAATAAAAAAATATTCACCACTTTATGCTTTGTGGAACATACCATTTCCTCTTTGAGTTAATGTCGTGCAATATCTGAGATCCCACAGGTGATGTCATCAGAACAGGTGTGGACACTGGGCTGGGAATGCAGGTATGCTGAAGAAGTATCCACAGCAGCAGTATGAGGACTTGTGTTTAGACCTCAAGTGCCCAATTAAAAGACAGAATCTGTAACGCATGTGTGTCTTCAGAGGCAGTCTAGAAGTCAGGATGGAGACAGCTTTAGCTCTAAATCTTGTAGCCACATAGTTCAGTCCATGGGCAGGGAGGAAGGCTTACTGAAAAGCCTGGTTTTTGGTTGAAAACTAATTGAGAAAGACACACAACATTAACTCTTAGTTTATATACATGTGCATACACATAGATATGCACTCGCACACTGGACACACACATGCAAATAAACAAGAGGAGGAGGAAGGGGAAGATTGTTCAGAAGCTAAGAAGGTATCAATGCCATGATTATGGTTTTCTCTATTTCTATGACCATGTACGAAACCAGAGCTCGGTGATTTATCAACCCTCTTGCCTCAGTTATTCTGTTATAACACCGGGGGAAAAGACTAAGAAAATTGGATTTTTGTAAACTCTACCTTTATCTATGTCCTGGTACAACAGATCTTACTGGAGAGATGACAAATGGGCTGAGAAACTACACTTAAAAAATAATCACCTGCTACTACCATGTATTAATATAATGTCTGTGGTGGTTCAGTATGAAATGACCATGAGATGCTCGTGTATTTGTAGTCCCCCGCTTGTATAATTTAGATGATTGCAGAACCTCTGAGAGTCCAGCATAACTAGTAAAGAAAAGAGAGGTCTCTAAAGTTGTAGCTATCCTTGGTTCTGGCCATGCACTCTACATTTTGGTTTGCTGCCATCTAAAGCCCCACCTCCACCTGCTCCAAGCTCTGCTGACTCAGCTACTCCACTGCCTCGACTGCCTTCCCATGAAACTGAACCAAAGGAAAACCCCCTACCTTAAGTTGTTTCTGCCAGCTAAACTGTCAGAGGAAGATGTATATAATGCAATATTTTCATCATTAAGACCATTGTTTCTATATGATTTTCTCTTTTATTTTTTTCACATTGAAATTCACTCTGTGCATTTATTTTGTGGTTGTCAGAATTTGGGCTATAGGTCCCAGGCTCATAGACTCTGCATTTTATTTTACCACTGTAAGAAGACTTTCTTTCATATGCTTTCCTTTTCCTTTTTCTTTCTCCCCATTTTCCCTCTTATTTTTCTCTCCATTTTTGATTTTTATTATATATTTTAGCATTTAAAGTAATATTTAAATCTAAAAAATTTTGATCATATTCTTCCCTTCCTCTAGGTCCTTCCAGATCCTCTTCTTAATCCCTACTCAAGAAATTTTAAGTTCTTTCTTAAAAAACATATAAACAAAAGCCCAAATAAACAAAACACTCAAAACCAAGAAAACAAAACTATAATCAAATGAAAAAATCAAACAAAATAACAAACTGTAGCAAAATACCTGCTTGTATGTTCCTACATACATACATACACCCCCCCACACACACACACAAATAAAACCAAAAAAGAAAAGAGCAAACTGTGGAACCATTATATGTTGGTCAACTACGTCAACTACTCTTGAGCATCAGACCTTTCCTGGGTTGATATAGCAAGCATCACTCCATTGGAAAACATTGATTTTTCTTGCACGGCAGGCAAAAACAGCAGTACAGTTATTAACTTCACTAAGTTAATAAGTTTTTATTTTTTTCAAATATCACAAAATAAAATATAGTAAGTTAAAATTAAATCTATCACACTGAAGTTGGAGAAGATGAACCAACAGAAGAAAAAGAGCCAAAAAGAAGGCAAAGAATCAGAGACCCTCTAATTTAGTCACACATTCTGTGAAATCACTAGCCGAAAGTTTATTTATACACAGAGGATGTATTGTACATCCATGCAGCTTCTGTGCTTGTTGCTTCAGCCTCTGTAAATTTCTATGAGCTTTTCTCATATTGATGTCGAGGGACTTGTTTCCTTGGTGTTTATTTTTCTCTTTTGGGAGAATGCAGAGTATGCTCCTGGACCAAAGACAGTAGCACATAAAATTCAAGCTCTATGTAGGCACCAGCTCAACATCTCCATCTTCAATGGGTTATGTAGGAGTTGTCCTCGGCAATGGGACCTTAATGTCAGCAACCTAGAGTCTTGACAACAACCTGGGTTCTTAAGAAATCCCATGGGACCCCTTTAGCCAACAGTTCAAATATTTATAACCCAATCACGTACTGGAAGCTTCATTTGATGACAAGAGATTTCCTGTTGGGACTGTCTTCCCCATTACTGGGCAACTAGGCAGTTTCATTTCCTCTCTCTTTCTCTCTCTCTCTCTCTCTCTCTCTCTCTCTCTCTCTCTCTCTCTCTTTCTCTCTCTCTCTTAAATGTCCTAAGTGTCCAATCTGGACACTGTGCATCTTGTTAATGGTCGAGGCATGGGAAGTTCTTTGCCCAAAGGCCGGTTTTGCCAAGAAAAAAACAAGCTCCAAGTGGAGTGTCATTGCTGCCCAATATTTATTCAAGAATAGATTGGTGTTGACGGGAACAATTGTCTCTCATGTCAATGGAATGTTGTTATCTTGTTATGTATTTTTAGTAAATTGCTGTACATGTAATAATCTTTATTGTCCAGTAGATGTTGGGGTTGTGGGTGCACGTGGCAGAGGCAACCAACAGTCTCACTTGCGTTTGCTGTGGCAGAGCTTGGTTTCACATTGTTGGCGGCTTTAAATGCTAACAAATATATTTAACAGATTGAGGGTGCTAATTCAATTTCGTACACAGAAGGCTTTGTTTTGTTTTGTTTTGTTTTGTTTTCTGGTGGCCAGACTATCAGGAAACCCAGAGTTTGTGAGCTTTGAACACAAAACAGAGAAGTCTGTGCTCCTGGAAAGTGGGTGGTGTGAGCAAGTGTCCATTGGGAAAAGTGAACAGGTTGAGTGTGGGGTGGGGTGGCCCCTTGTGTAGGCTAGTAGACTGCGGGGGTGGAGTCAGGATGGCAGACAGCAGATCCTGGGCACTGGCTGGAGATGCTGCAGTAGCAAGCAGGCAGGACATGGTGGGGTTGCAGGCTGGGGAGGGAGACCTAATGGTTCATCCTGGTAGGCATGGAGTCAGGATCAATGTTGGGTGTCAGATGTAGTGGATTACATCTGTTTTTATAATACCCAAGGCCACACCCATAGTGGTCCAGGTCTCAAAGGCCATTGACTAAAGGAGTTCCCCCAGCACTAAGACAACACTCTCTCCATACCTATTCTATATATTACTTGAAGTTTTAGCTAAAGCAGCAAGACAACCAAAGAAGATCAAAGGGATAAAAATTTGAAGGGAAGATGTCAAAGTATCATTATTTGCAGATGATATTATAAGTACACATAATTGACCATACAGTTTCCACCAAGGACCTCCTACAGATGATAAACACTTTTAGCGAAGAGGTTATATACACGTTTAACTTTTGATAAAAGCAAAAACAAACAAGACAAACAAACCCCACAGTATCCCTTCTATACACAAATAACAAATGGAATGAGAAAAAATCAGGGAAACAACACTTTGCTTAACAGCTTCAAATAACATAAAATATCTTAGGGGAACTCTAACCAAACAAGTGAAAGACTTGTATGATGAAAAATTCATGTCTTGGAAGAAAGAAATTGAAGAAGATAGTAAAAGGTAGAAAGATCTCTCATGCTCATGGATCAGTAGGATCAAAGTAATAAAAATGACCATTCAACCAAAATCAATGTACTGTTTCAATACAATCCCCCATCAAAATTTCAACACAGTTATTCACAGACATTGAGAGGACCTGAAAAATTCATACAGAAAAACAAAAAAAATCTAGGATTTCTAAACATTTCTGAACAATAAAAGCATACTGGAGATATTACCATCCCAAATTTCAAGTTCTAATACAGAAGTATGGTGATAAAAACTGAATATTATTGGCATAAAAACAAACATATTTATCAGTGTAATAGATTGAAGATCAATACATGAATTCAAACACATGGAAACCTGATTTATTTTAAAAGAAATCAGAAATACACACTGGGAAAAAAAAAGGCAGCATCCTCAACAAACGGTACTGGTCAAACTGGATGTTCACTGTAGAAGAGTGCAAATAGATCTGTATTTATCACCCTGCACAAATTTCAAGTCTGGGTGGATCAAAGATTACAACATAAAACCACATACACTAAACCTGATAGAAGAGAAAGTGGAGAATAAATTTGAATGCATTGACACAGGAGACGACTTTCTGAACAGAACACCAGTAGTGCAGGCACTAAGTATCTGGACAGCAAAAGAAACTGTAGAACAAAGTGACAGCCTACAGAATAAGAAGGCATTTTTTTTTACCTTTTACTCCATATCCAATAGAGGACTAATATCTAAACTGTATAAAGAACTCAAAATACTAGATCTCATAAAACCAAATAATTTAATTAAAAATGTGGTCCAGATCTAAACAGAGATTTCTCAATTGAGGAATCTCAAATGAGTAAGAAACATTTAAAGAAATATTCATCATCCTTAGCTGTCATGGGAATGCAAATCGAAACTAGTTTGAGATTCTATCTTACACATATCTGAATAGTTAAGATCAATAATACAAGTGATAGTTCACGTTGATGAGGATATGGATCAAGAGAAGCACACATCCATTGCTGGAGGGAGTCTAGACTTGGTAAAGCCACTGTGAAAATCAACAAGGCAGTTACTCAGGAAATTGGGAATTGATCTACCTCTCTTGGGCATATGCCCAAAGGAAACTTCATTCTACTGCAAGGACATTTGTTCACCATGTTCATAATAGCTTTATTCATACTAATTAGAAATTGGGAACAACCTTGATACTCCTCAACAGAATAATGGATAAAGAAAATATGATACATCTACACAATGGAGTATTAGTTAATAACAGTTAAAAAACTGACATGACATCATGAAATTTGCAAGCAAATAGATTGAGCTAAAAGAAACCATCCTGAGTAAGATAATCCAGACTCAGAACTAAAAGAAATTATCCTGAGTAAGGTAATCCAGACTCAGAAAGACAAATATAGTATGTATTCACTTATAAGTGGATATTATCTGTTAAGTAAATGATAACCAGGCTAAAATCTATAGACACAGAGAAGTTAAGCAAAGAGGAAAGGTCTAAGCACATATGGATTTTTCTGGAAATGGGAAATATAATAGATTTTATATGTGAACTAGGAACAGTTTGGAACTGGAGCAGGAAGGATCAGGTGGGAGTGGGGGAGATAGGAATGAAAGAAAAAGTACAGTGAGAGACAACTAGAATTTGGGGCATTTAGTAGGTGATGTAGAAACCTATTGTAGTGGAAACTTCCTGGAGCTATGAAGGTGATCCTAATGAAGACTCCTAGAAACGGGGGATGTGGCGCATCATCTGGCCATCTCTTATAGTCAGACAAGGCTTCCAGTGGCCGGTCTGAGTTGCATTCAGCTTAATTTGTTTTCCAAGAGGGGTTCCATTGAGATATATAGACACACCAGGTTGATGCTAAGACAAAGGATAGCTCTCTGCAAACTGACAGCAGGGCCACATTGCCAAGGACAGCATCCAAGCAACTCATTGAAGTCAAATGGTTGCCTACTTGGAGCCTTCATTTCTATGTCTAGTCTCTTTGTTATGGGAAGGTACTCTACAGGTTATCAAAAGAGAAACCAACTCAACCACAAAACCTTTGACCTACTCTATGTCTACCCTATAAAATATGGTAGGTCAATGATGTCACAAAACTTTTGGGTAACTATTGAATGCCTTATTTGACTTAAGGTCCACTCCATGAGAAGGAACCCATACTCAGCACTGCTTGGGTGACCAAGAGCTAGAAAGCTTAAAGACCCTGAGTTAAAATCACACACAACTGTCAAAACAACAACAAAAAAATTAAAATGATTCCTATTGCTATTCTACTACACTCAAAGATTAGTGCCTTACTGAGGCATCATCAGAGAGACTTTCTTCAGCAACAGAGAAGAAGTAGAGTCCCACACCCCAATACTGTGTGGATAGAATCTAAATTGGAGGTCTCTACCAAATCCCTCCCCTCAGAGCTTAGGGAAGAGAAAGCAGAAAAATTATGAGAGACAGAGGGGATGGAGAATCCAGGAAAACATGGTCCTCTGAATTAACTACACAAGGCACCTATGAACTCACAGAGACTGAGGTCACAAACTCAGGGCCTACATAGGTCTGCACCCGGTCTTCTGTGTATATATTATAGATTTCATTTTAATATTTTTATGGAACTCCTGACCATGAAAATGAGTTGGTCTCTGACTCTTTTGCCTGCTCTTGGGGCTCTTTCCCTATGTTTGGTTTCCATGGTCAACTTTGCTGTGAAACTTTTTGCTTTATCTTATTATTTTCTTTTGTCAGATTTTGTTTTTATTTCTTAGACATCTGGTCTTTTCTAATGAGAGACATAAAGGGAGTGGATCTGAAGAGAAGGGAAGGGGATAAGAAATTGGGATGAGTAGAAGAAAGGGAAACTCTAATCAGGATATATTGTAGAAGGAAAGAATCTGTTGTCTGAGGTTTTCTGTCCTGCCTGGTTCCCACAATTGTTAAGTCCCAAAGAAATTACACAGAAGTTTACATTAGTTAGCTTTTTGTCCTAATAGCTCAGACTTCTTATTAACTCTTATTACTTATATTAACCCATTATGCTTATCTATATTAGCCATGTGGCTCAGTACCTTATTGGGCAAGCCAGTCACATCTTGCTTCTTTTGTGACTGGGTCACAACTGCTGACCAAGCTTTCCTCTTCCAAGAATTCTTCTGTTCTCATCACCTCACCGCTACTTCTTGCATGGTTGGCCCACCTATACGTCCTGTCTGGCTACTAGCCAATCAGCATTTATTTCAAATATAATTGACAGGGTGCGGACCATTGTCTCACAGCAAGACTCTATTATCAATAATAGAAGAGCCAACTTTGCTTTCAATACTTTAGGTATATTATCTTTTTTAACAGCCAGTCACCTGCTAAGGGATAGGTATAGCCAATATATCTCCTGGCAGCAAAATAGGTGTTCCGTCCTGGATGTGTGGTGAGAGCATGTTCTCCACAGGTGGACTGCCCTTCTACATAAAGAGGGTGATGAGAATTGGGACATAAACTCAAGGTACCAGTTCATTGGGCAACCTAAATAAATATGTCATTACATGAGCAAATCATATTTTAAATTTATTTTGCATATAAATGTATATAAATGGTGGCTATTGTTTTTAAATATTTTAATCTTCCATCTGTATAATAAAAATATATCTGAGACTGTTAATGTCTTTAATTGCAGTAATACTATGATTTTTGTTTCTTTCTCCTTAGGGTCTTCATGGTTCCCTTTAAGAGAATATATTCTCATTATTATTTTCCCATTTCTGACTTCCCTTCTCTTCTGGGCACAGTTTGCTATTTTAAGTAAGTGTTTATTTCTAGTCATCATTTATATTTTAGTAATAAAACTGCTATTTCTACAAGTGCCAAAGTAAAATATTGTGTACTTCAACTGCATTAGGAAAAGTCAAGTTCTGATAAATAAGAATATGTACAGGGTTTGAATAGTAAGAGCCTTCATGAATTATATACTGTCCCTGACATATTGCTACTGTTGACTTTGTAGGAAAATATTTTTTTGTGTTTCTTAAAAACAGTTTTTAAAAAACTGCTGTAAATACTGTTTAGGCCATCTAAAACTTCTGTAGTACAGTCATATTAACAAATAAATTAAGGAATTTTATTTGATGAACAGAGAGTCACAGGCAAAGTTATGTGAAGACAGAATCCAAAGCTCTGGCGCCCAGGAATGCCCCTCGTTTCTTGAGTTTGTTGTTGGTACTATCGTGTAGTGTTATTCCACGGGGATATATATCATCCAAGGGGAGCTGTGCTTTGTGATCTTGCTTTGGCAGTCATGGAACTAAATCTGTGAGGGTGAAACTCAATGCTGTATTGTGTGTGATCTGTGTGTGTATAATTTAGAATTGCCAACACAAGGTGATACAGTGTGGATTTGAAATGTGCTCCATAGACTCATGTATTTGAACTCTTGGTTACCAGTTAAGGTAATTTTTTTGTAGGTTGTGGCACATTTCTTTGGAATGTGGAGCTTACCTGGACAAAGTGGACTAGGGCCGATATTATAAGCCAGTCCAACATACTGGTTCATCTTTGCTTCCAGATCTATCTAGATGTGAAGAAGTGGTCTTATGTTCCACTCACAGCCAATGAGAGCCGACCCCACAACCATATTTCCCTGACAGAATAGAGTGTCCCCTCTGTCCATGAGCCAAAATGAGTCCCCACTCCTGTAAGTTGCTTCGTGTCAGGCATAGATAGAAATTTAAACTCCATCCATCAACCTTTCTGCTTTTAAACCAATAACAAGCTGTTCTTCTTACTGTTGCTCTAAAATAGAGATTGATGTCAGAGATGGTGATGTCTCTGGAGGTTCTTTTATTGTAAAGGATTATTTGGATATCTTGGGTTTTTTTTTTGTTTTTCCATATGAAGTTTATTATTACTTTTTCAAGGTTGCGAAGAATTGTGTTGGCATTTTGATGGAGATTGCATTGAATCCATACATTGCTTTTGGTAGGATTGCCATTTTTATTATGTTGATCCTACCTATCCAAGAACATGGAAGATCTTTCAATTTTCTAGTATCTTCTTCAATTTCTTTCTTCAAAGACTTAAAGTTCTTGTTAAACAGGTCTTTCACTTCTTTGGTTAGTGTTACCCCAAGATATTTTATGTTATTTGTGGCTCTTGTGAAAGGTGATGTTTCTCTGATTTTTTCTCAGCTTCTTTATCATTTGTATATAGGAGAACTACTGGGTTTTTTTTGATATTTATCCTACCAAATTACTGAAGTTATTCATCAGCTGTTGGAGTTCCCTGGCAGAGTTTTTGCGGTCACTTATATATACTATCGTATCCTCTACAAGTAATGAAAGTTTGACTTATTTCTTTCCATTTTGAATCCCATTAATCTCCTTTTGTTGTATTGCTATAGCCAGAATTTCAAGAACTATGTTGAATAGATATGGAGAGAGAGGACAGCCTTGTCTTCTGATTTTAGTGGAATCACTTTGAATTTCTCTCCATTTAATTTGATGTTGACTGTTGGCTTACTGTATACTGCTTTTATTATCTTTAGATATGTCCCTTGTATCCATGATCTCTCCTAGACCCATGAAGATTTATCAAATGCTTTTTCAGCATCCAACGAGATGATTGTATGGTTTTTTTCTTTTAGTATATTTATATGGTGGATTATATTGATAGATTTTCATATGTTGAACCATCCTTGCATCTCTGGGATGAAGCCAACTTGATCATGATGGATGTTTTTGATGTGTTCTTGGATATGGTTTGCAAGTATTTTATTGAGTATTATTGCATCTATGTTCATGAATGAAATTGGTCTGTAATTCTTTTTCCTGGTTAAATAATTGTGTGGTTTTGGTACCAGTTATGAAACTGTAGTCTCATAAAAAGAGTTTGACCTTGTTTCTTTTGTTTTTATTATGTGGAATACTTTGAGGAGTATAGATATTAGCTCTTCCTGGAAGTTCTGGTAGAATTCTGCACTAAAACCATCTAATCCTGAGCTTTTTTTGTTGAGAGTCTTTTAATGACAACTTCTATTTCCCTGCAGTATATAGGTCTATTTAAATTGTTCACCTGGTCTTGATTTAATTTTGGTATATGGCATCTATCCAGAAAAATTTCCATCTCTTTTACATTTTCCCATTCTGTGGAGTACAGGTTTTTGTAGTATGACCTAATGATTCTCTGGATTTCCTCAGTGTCTGTTGTTTTGCCCCCCTTTCATTTCTGATTTTGTTAATTTGGATGTTCTCTTTGAATTTTTGATTAGTTTGGATAAAGGTTTGTCTATCTTGATGACTTTCTCAAAGAAGCAGCTTTTTATCTCATTGATTCTTAGTATTTTTTTATTTGCTTCTATCTATTTTATTGATTTCATGCCTGAACTTAACCATTTCTCATCTCTACTCCTCCTGGGTGAGTCTACTTCTTTTTGTTCTAGAGCTTTCAGGTCTACTGTTAAGTTATTAGTGTGAGCTTTCTCCACTTTCTTTATTTAGGCACTTAGTGCTTTAAACTTTCCTCTTAAGCTCTGTTTTCAAATTTTCCATAGGTTTGGGTATATTGTGCCTTCATTTTTATTGAATGCTAGGAAGTCTTTAATTTTTTTCTTTCTTTCTTCCTTGACCCAGGGTGGTTCAATAGTTCACTGTTCAATTTCCATAAGTTTGTGGGCTTTCTGAGAGTAGTGTTGTTGTTAAATTCCAATTTTAAATCATGATGATAAGATACAGAGGGTTTCTCCATTTTTTTGTATTTATTGAAGTTTGCCTTATTATTGAATATTTGGTCAATTTTACAGACGGTTCCATTAAGTGATGAAAAGAAGGTATATTGTTTTGTGTTCGGGTGGAATATTCTGTAGATGTTTGTTAAGTCCATTTGAGACATGATATCTGTTAGTTCTCTTATTTCTCTGTTAAGTTTCTGTCTGGTTGACCTGTCCATTGGCAAAAGTGGAGTTTTGAAGTCTTGTACTATTAGTGTGTGAGCTTTGATGTGAGATTTAAGCTTTAGAAATATTTCTTTTACATATGTGGGTGTTCTTGTATTAGGGACATAGATGTTAGTATTGGGATTTCATCTTGATGGATCATTCCTGTTATGTATATAAAATATCCTTTTCCATCTCTTCTAAATGATTTTAGTTTGAAATCTATTTTGTTATATATTAGGATAGCTACACCCACTTGTTTCTTAGGTCAATTTTATTGGATAATTTTTCCCCAACCCTTTACTCTGAGGTAATGTCTGTCTTTGAGATTGAAATATGTTTCTTGTATACAGCAGAAACTGGATCCTGCTTTCATATCCATTCCTTTAGCTTGTGTCATTTTATAGGTGAATTGAGTCCATTGATATTAGGAAATATTAATGACCAGTGGTTGTTAATTCCTATTATTTGTCAGTGGTAATATGTGTGTGTGTTCCTTGTTTGGAATTTGCTGGTGGGGGGTTATCTGTTGTTTATGTTTTTGTGGGTACAGTTAGCATACTTGGGTTGGGGTTTTCCTTCTAGTACTTTCCGTAGGGCTTCATTTGTGGATACATACTTTTTAAATCTGGTTTTTGTCATGGAAGATAATGTTTTATTCATTGATAGTGACTGAAACCTTTGCTGGGTATAATAGTCTGGGCTTGCAACCATAGTCTCTTAGTGTCTGCAGCACATCAGCCCAGGACCTTCTGGATTTCATGCTTTCCATTGAGAAGTCAGGTGTAATTCTGATAGGTCTATCTTTATATGTTACTTGACCCTTTTCCTTTGCAGCTCTTAATATTCTCTCTTTTATTCTGTATGAATTGTGTTTTCATTATTATATGGCAAGGGGACTTTTTGTTTTATCCAGTCTATTTGGTGTTCTGTAAGCTTCTTGTACATCCATAGGGATACCCTTCTTCATGTTGGGAAAGTTTTTTTCTATGATTTTGTTATAAATATTTTCTGTGCTTTTGAGCTGTAATTCTTCTCCTTCTTCTATCCCTATTATTCTCAGGAAGCCACTGAGGTCTCTCTTACCCTGCCCTCTTGGTCTGCTCTCCTGGTTTGCTCTCTTAGTCCACTCTGTGAAGTCACAGCTTGTGTTTTAGAGTTCCTTTCTTGGTCCTCTCTCTTGGTCTTCTTTATATTGTATCAGGCTGTGTTTCAAAGTTTCACTGAGGTTGTGGGAGATTAGGTGAATTTGGGGGTGGGTTGAGACTTGCGGTTTGCAGGATCCAATGGATGGGGGAGTATGGGAGCAACCTTCTAGCAGGAAATTCTGCTGTCTTTTAGAGAGGCCGAGGCAGGTGGGGGAGAGGAATTTTGATTTCTTACAGTTCTATTTTTTAGTTCTTGGTTTACTGCCTCAGTTATTAGAGTTCCATTCAAAAAACCTTCTCTTATGCCTATGTCTTGAAATATTTTCTCAAAAACTTTCAGAGTTCCAGACGTTATATTGAGGTGTTTTTCTATATATGTTGATTTTTGTACTAAATGTGAGATACAGATATTTTTTGTACTTCTATACAGGAATATCATTTCCTCCAGAGCCATTCAGTGTAGAATGTCTTTTCTCCAATGTATGTTTCTGTCATAGATGTCAAAAGTCAGGTCACTGTGGCTGTGTGCTGTTATTGCTGAACCCTGTATTCTATTTCATTCACCTACAAGTCAGTTTTATTTAACTGCCATGCTATTTTGTATTACAATGATTCTAAAGGATAAGTTGAAATCAACAGTGTTCTTTTTGGTGAAGGTTTTTTTTTACTCTATGATTTTTTTTGTGTGTTTCTTGTGAATTAAAAAAAATGTTTTTCTACTACCATGG